GACCTGCCCTGTTTTTAAAACGGGCCGGAGTGGGTCTGGCCCGTTAGCAAAACGGGCCAGGTCCGGGTCCTACCTATTGACCTGGCCCGCCCCGCCCCGCCCCGCCCGGGCCCGACCTGGCCCGAATGTTTTATATATTTATATTTGATATATATATAATCATACAATATATAAAGTAATTACTTAATTACTAATTAGGGTTCAGATCACTCCGCCTCTCTTCTCATCTTCTGCAATCGTAAGCGCCTCCGTTCTCTCCTAATCTCCCTCTTCGTGATCGTGTCTCCCCGTCTTTGAGACACAATCTCTTACCTTTGACTTCTCGCCGCCTCCGACGCCTCGCTGCTTCCGCCGCCTTGCTGGTTCCGCCGCCTCACTGCAGATTTAAGGTAATTATTAATTACTACATTATTACAAAAATTAAAGAATGTTGCTATATCTTTGAAATTGATGGGGTTTTATTTTGAAACACATTCTAATTTGTTATATATGCTTTGTGTGTAAATTTGGGTTCGTGTGCCGACAATTATGGTGTCTTCCTGGATCAAGAAAGGGACTGGTAATGTGTGTTATTACTGTGCTATTATTGTTTGAAGCATGATATATGGATGGCATATATGTTTTGAGCTTTCGATTGATTTTTTCTTGATTGTCTTTAACTATTTATAGTGATAACTGATAAGGGTTGAACCAGTATTCATAATGTTTAGTGTTTGGTATAAAAATGCTTGATTGTTTCCTCAAAATCACTAATATTGCTTTGACATTGTTTCCTTTACTAACTTTTAGATGGGTGTTTGATATTAAATTATTGTTTGTTTCCTTTACTAAATTATTTTTCGATAAATCACAGAGGAAAAAAACAAGTAAACGAGAATTGCACTCGACTATTATTAGAGATAAAAACCCAACGTTATTTTTGAGTACTGGTAATGCTTAGGCATTTTGAAATGTTTTCTATCTCAAAAGAAGTGATCATGCGTTTTGTCTCTGTCTTTTTCTTTCTTTTCTTCTTCTGATTTTGAAATATTGGATTTTTTCTGCAATTATCTCAACCTGAAAGCTAAAACAATGCTACAGATCATGGTTCCAAACAACTACACAGAGTTCATTGATGGCCTAACCTCATTGGCGAAGAGAAACATTATTATAATTTAATTTTAAGTGTTACATTTGCAAGTTTAATTAAACAACTTTCAGAAACAACTTTCAAAGAGCTTTCTCAAAATTCAGAGTTTGATATTTGCTTGAACTTTTTTGAGAAAATCCATCACATCAAGTGAAAAATTATTTAAATATTAGAAATTGCATATAAGTTTATGATCTTATGAGTTTTAAGAAATGCTGAATTAGTGAATTGATGCTGTGGAGGTGTACTTGAAATTACACGGAGGTGAATTCTTAGTTTCTATTAGAATAGAGACTTAGAGTCCTCTGGTTCTACTTGCTACTTGCTTTTTTGCTGCAGATTATATACTTGAAATTATATACGGCTTACTATATTCTTAAAATTTATCCACAGGATGGTAGATCACGGAGAAAGATCGACTTCTAGCCAGCATGATGATATGCCACCTGAGAATTCACCAACATTGTCATCGCCAATTTCTGGCGATGATTGTATGCGTACTTCTCAAGACGAGATGAGCCCTCATATGACTCCACCGACGTTGGGTTGTGACGAAAATGAAATGGCAGCCGAAACTGGTGAACTCTATGGAAACCTTAAAGCGGAAATATGGAAAGAGTATGAGAAGCCAGTGATGGTGAAGGGAACATTAAAGGCTAAGTGCAAACATTGCAAGACATATATGCTACGTAATCCAAGCCAAGGAACTAGTCACTTGAGAAAACATTTTGAAAGATGTAAAAAAAGAAAGTCACAAGACATTAGACAAATGGTCCTAAAAGGCAATTTTGCGAAGGAAAAATTTGAGTTGTCGCCCTATAGTTTTGATCAGGAGCTATCACGTGAAGAATTAGCGAAAATGATCATCAAGCATGAGTATCCTTTGAAGATGGTTGAACATGAAGGCTTCAAAGACTTTGCTAAAAGTTTGAATCCTTGCTTTAAAATGGTAACAAGGAACACAATAAAGAGTGATTGTTTTAAGATTTATGAAAAGTTGAAGGAATCTGTGATGCACGCTTTTGAGATGAATGAGAGTC